CCTCGCTAAGCTACAGGTTTGGAAACATTTAAAAAGTACAAATAATATATCTATGCTTTTAATTACGTTCGATTAAATAAATTTATTTAAAAAAAATTTATTTCTGTTTAGAATGACAATATTCCTGTAAAAGATATTTCTTGTGGACATGTACCTTTTCATAGTCGGTACGTCGAGCCTGCGAGAGTAAACTTTGGAATACTTGAATCAGATATTGCCACAGAAAATCTCTCCGAGCTCAAAGTGGTTGAACATGTTGAATAAATCTTATGAATGGTTCAGCACATCTTCAAATACCTCGTATCTAGCAAAATATTATACAAATAATCTGTTAGCCCCGGTAGTATTTTCAGAAGCTGTGCGTTTTATTCCAAACGACGCGGTGACGATTGAGATAGCGCCGCATGACATTCTACAATACATTCTTAACGATTCATTAAAGGCAACTGTGACAAATGTCGCGTTATACAAATTCTCTCACAAATCCAACGTTGAAATATTCTTACATGGAATTGGAAACTTTATAATGCAGGATTACAGCTGCAAATCGCAAATTTATATCCGGAAGTTATGTTCCCTGTGAGTCGTAATACACCGATGATTTCTCATCTTATAAGGTAAATTTTGCTTAATATAAAATTTTAAATTTTGCTTAATATAAGATTTTTCAACGTTATGTTTATTACAGTAAAACAGCACAATTTTAAAAACAAAAAAATAAATTGCATTATTTTTAACGACTAATTTAGACTTTTAAACACTAATAACGCTGTTATATTGTAAAATTAATGACATGTTTTTACAGATGGGATCATTCCGAAGATTGGTATGCATACCGTTATTTTGCACAAAGAAAACTTTACATTGGGGAAGCAATTGTTACCATTAATTTATTAGATGAAGAATTTACATATATGACCGGGCATGTCGTTAATAGAAAAAATTTATTACCGGCTACAGGATATCTTTTCCTGATATGGCAAATGATCGGCTGGTTAAAAAAGCGAAATCATCTCGATGTACCAATTGTATTTGAAGATGTCAATTTCTTACGTTCTACAGTTCTGTCGAAGCAAAATCTAGTCAATTTAACTCTTATGATCCAAAAGGGTAATTGATACAATTAAAATAATGTGATATAGATATATAAAGGGATAAAAATTTTTTAAGATATAAAATATGAATAAGTGAAAAAATTCAATTGAAAAAATAAATTAAAAAAGATTTGTATTTAATAAACAAAAATTATTAACAGATTGTCAATAAAGCAGCAGATTCGACCAAAAATTGCAATATATTAGTATGTATTAAGCTTGTATTCTGTTGAAAAAGTAAACATTATACAGAAATCTTAAAATTTCTGCTGTCAGTTTACAGTAAAAAAATGTTTTGTTAATTTTGTTGATTTGATTGATCTGTTTGATCTTTATACATATCATTTTTATTTTTATCTTTGCTATTTTAATTAATGTAATGCTAAAAATCTATGCTCGAAAGATTGCAATTTAAAGATACCATAGCTAAGTTAATTTTCTGTAATTTATTGGTATAAAATTATTGGTTACCCGATATAACAAAGTTTCTTACGCAAATGCATATCAGAAGTAGCACTTATCTGATCATTAATAATGCTATAGGAACACTTTCATTAAAATAAAAATTTATTTTTATTTATTGAACTTGCAAATTGTGTACTATGATTGGTATTTACTTTCCACAATTGAAGGCCAGCTGGAATTTATTCTTTGTTAAAAACATCCACTCTTTATGACACATAGAATTTCTTTATAAAACATGGAATAGAATTTCCGTTTATAAATTAAATATTCATACAAGAAATTGATAATCGTATTCTTATAGATAGTTGCAAATTCGAAATAATCGAAGGGGACAGTGCTGTCGTCACTGGAATAGTACGAATTCCTGATAATATTAAAAACGAGAAAATATGTAGCACATTCATTGATCGAAATGACAATGACAAAGAGGAGATGAATATAAAAGATATTTACAAAGAATTGAAACTTCGTGGTTATCAATATACCAGCGAATTTCGTGGATTAAGAAGTGCGTCAATCACAGGAAAGAATGGTCATATTGCCTGGACTGACAATTGGGTAACGTTTATGGACAATATATTACAGATGATGATTTTAGGGCAGGATTCGAGAAGTCTTTTTGTACCAACAAAAATTCGTAAAGTGGTAATCGATCCAAAATCTCACATAAAATATATTGAAAAACTTTCAAATAAAAAAAAACGTAAGTATTACAGAATTAAATAAACTATATACGTATTTAATCGAATATTATTTTTCGAAAAATATATACTTGATATGATATTGTCTTTATATCCGCAGAAGTTCTTGTGCAAAATTATAAGCACTTAGATGTTTTGATATCTGGAGGAATAGAAATACACGGTCTTATAGCTACAGCTATATCTCGTCGACAAAATGTAGCCAACCCCGTTTTTGAAGAGTACAAGTTTGTTGCTCATCGAGATTTAAATGTGACATCTTTGCAAGATGCAATAAGAATGTCGGTGCACGTTGCACTTGAGTGCCATAACATGATAAACGTAAAAATCATTGAATTTATCGAAAGTAGCGATGAAATGATGCCGGAGAATTTAAATTCTTTACATGTTTATAAAATTTTAGACGACTTACCGCAAATTTGTTACAATATCAAAATAGTAACGAGTAACGAACGATTCAAAGATATTTCTTTGCCCAACAATATTTCTACGATGGAATTTGATAAACTGACGAAAAATGAAAATTGTTTGATGATTATAGGTTTCGGAATTTTAACAAAAAATAGAAACGATTTATACGAACAATTGTTGTCTGCCATAATGCCAAGAGGATTTCTTCTGACATTCGAAGAGTTAGATGCTATTTACGATTACTCATGTCTGGACAAATATGGATTAAAAGTAATTTTGGAAAAACGCACCAATGATAAGACAATTGTATTATTAAGAAAAATACAAGATTTTAAGACGAATCAGCAGATTGTGCATGTAAATAATTACGAATTTTCGTGGATAAATGAGATTAAATCATTCATGAACGTGGAAAATGACAACACAAATACGAGAATTATAATCGTCGCAGAAGGAGACTTCGAATGCGGTCTACTCGGCCTTGTCAATTGTTTGCGAAAAGAACCGGGTAGTGAAATGATTAGAAGTGTATTTATTCAAGATGGAGATGCGCCTGCTTTTTCATTGCAAGAATCGTTATATATGAAGCAGCTACAACTGGATTTACCCATCAATGTTATACGTTCTGGCATTTGGGGATCCTACAGACATTTTCCATTATCATTATTAGAACCAAAACTCGTACAGAATGCTTATGTTTCTCAAATGGTACGATTTTAAGAAGATTCGGATTATTATATTTAGGAAGATAGTGATAATTCCCTTAATAAGCTTAAAATAACTTATTATATTTATTTATTTTAGGTGCGAGGTGATCTGAGTACTCTTTGTTGGATGCAAAGTAGGGTATCTTTCGTTAACAATAATGAAGAAAATCTAGTAAGAGTAGTTTATGCATCTATCAATTTTAGAGATGTCATGATAGCTAGCGGTAGACTCACCATTGAATCTATTACAACCGAACGAAATAATAATTCTTTAATTGGAATGGAATTTGCTGGTTTTAATAAAACTGGGCAAAGAATAATGGGATTATGTTCAACAGGGTAAGCGAATATTAGATAAAAACTTGATAAAATCTTAATATGTATGTGAATAGAATCTTAATGTGTATATTCTTAATAAAAATAAACGAATATTCTAAACGTATATTCTTAATAAAATAAATTTTGTATATTTAAATTAGAAACGTTTTCGATGAAGTAAAAAATGAAAAAGTTACTATATTTTACATGCTTTTTTTCATTCTTTATCTAACCTTTACATATTATTCACAAAAAATATTTCTTTGACTTAATTTTAACATAATATATTTTTATATGATTTTCTAAATTATATTATTTTCAGAGGAATGACAAATATTCTCATAATTGACAAATATCTTAGTTGGATCATACCTGACATGTGGACGATGGAAGACGCTGCGACGGTTCCTTGTGTATATAGCACGTGTTATTACGCTTTGTATTTGAATGGTAAAATGAAAAAAGACGACAAAATATTGATTCACTCTGGTAGGAGGTGTTGGTCAAGCTGCCATTTATCTTGCCCTTTACGAGGGTTGCGAAGTGTTTACGACGGTTGGGAGTATCGAGAAACGAGACTTTATAAGAAAAACGTTTCCTTCTATTCCCGAGGATCACATTGGAAACTCTCGTGATACGAGCTTCGAACAAATGATTATTCAGGGAACAAAAGGTCGCGGAGTGAATATCGTATTAAATTCTTTAGCTGAAGAGAAACTACAAGCGTCCGTCCGTTGCTTAGCAAAGGGTGGTCGTTTTCTCGAGATTGGAAAGTTTGATATGGTCTCCAATAATCCTCTAGAAATATTTGCATTTTCGAAAGGTATTAGTTTTCATGGCATCTTATTGGATAAGTTATTTTCTGCAGAACCAGAGAGTAAGGCAATACTACGGAACAAGTTAATGGAAGGCTTAAAGAATGGCGCCATCAAACCGTTATGCAGAAAAGTTTTTGAAAAGCATGAAATAGAAACTGCTTTTAGATATATGGCTGCTGGAAAGCATATTGGAAAGGTATGATGGTTTCTTAATGTACGAATACTTCTGTCTATTTTCCTTAATTAAAATTTAAAATTGAACGTAAGTTGTGACGCGAACTTTTCACATTAAGTATTTCACAATAAGTATTTTCATTAAGTATTATTATCAAGAGATTTTAAAATAACAAAATTAAATAGCTTTTTCTGATGTATCTTCTCAACTATGTTGTAATATGTAAAAGTTATCCATTATGCTTCTTTTCTCTTTATGTTTGTTCCGTATGTTCCGACCAGAATCTAGATCGCGGAACCTATCTATCGATCACGAAATCCTCAGATGCTCGCGCGACTCCTCCGAAAACTCCATCATTCTTATCGCGATACATACAATTAAGCGTCATCCCTTCGCGTCCACTGAAAAGTTCTGGCGCCATACTCTAACTGCGAGCTTGCGCCTAATTCCGACGCGCAGGATCTATCGATCTGCCAGTCCTCAAACGATTTATAACGCGTCAACAATTAATTGGTCCACGTAAGCAGGAAGAAAGCTTCCGCCTTCTGCTCCGACTTGCGTGCCTTCTTCTTGTTCTGTCGTTTGTTGCTTCAACATCGCGCCGCTCCTCGGTGGTTGTTTTCTCGAAGTACCGCGAATGAAATTTGCTGTGAGAGTTTCACGTTTGTCGCGTGTAATTAAAGTCGCAAATCGAAGGCGAGTTTCGTCTTGTTGATCCCGCGCGTGGTCAAATAAGGAAAGTGAAATCTTCCTCGCCGCGTATGCGGATTCTCTGCTATCTTGGCTATCGTAGCACCGGGGAGAAATTCGAGAGCATGTGCGAAAGAAATATTTTCCAACGGTCCGCGTAATATCAATTGACTGTCGCGTGAATAATCAAATTTCATGAACATTGTAAGTACGATTCCGAAATATATTTGTGACTCTTATACATAGAACAACTCTGATTCTTTTACGCTTTCCTCGTATCGATTCCCATTCGGGAGCGATCCCACGCCTGATCCCAATTAATTATTTTAATTCCTATACAATGTTCATTTGGAAAAACTCTCCTTCTTTTAAAGATTTTTTTATCAATTCTTTTAAATCTCTTTACAAATTTACACATTTTATTTGATAATTTATTCATTTTTATAGGTTCTTATCTGTAATCTTCATTTTTCCTAATAGCTTCTCGCCTTTTGTATGTTTTTCTTTTTTCCTCTTCCTGATACTTCAAAATATAATGTAATATTATTTACAGATAATGATAAAAGTTCAAAAAGAAGTTGAACTGGAAGCACCTATACTTGCACATCCCCGGTAT